AATTGCGCCGTTAAAATCCCCATAAAAACGGTCCATTCCGCGATTACCCACGCCAACTCGAATCCCCCGCAAAACGGGGAATTCCCCACGAGTTTGGCTACCCTGATCCTGCTGATCAATTATGTACGTATGCTTGCATGTATCTGTAGATTTCTAAGCTCACGCAGTGTTGAGAAGGAATTTCTAGCGTATGCCGCTGAGATCGACCTCAACATCCTCGCCATCTGTTCGGCCTACTCGAGGACAAAGCAAAGTATCTTCTGTCATCAAACAAACATGTATGATGAGTTGTTTTAATATAAAAGGGCATCGGCTTCAATAAGTGTTTCTAATTAGTGCCGACTAGCGACAAGTACAAGTGACTAGTGTGCTATCAATGAAAAAAGGAGAAGAACGAGCGAGTTTGGCCATAAAGAGACTGGCCGTAACACTGGCGCGCTTACTTTGGACAATGCTGTCAAGACAATGAAGATTCATGTATTTGTGAAAAAGTGTACATGTATTGCTATTGTCATGACTGTATTGTCCGATGTAAACCCTAAGTTAGTAAAAGTACGCTACCTCTTTTTACCATAACTAAATTAGATGCACGATTGACTAGATATGTTCGTGATTTCCACCACTACTAACAGCGTGCATATCCGTTTCAATAGCTCTAAAGGTATTCACCAACTGCAGGTGCATACAATGGCAGATGACAATTGTTGGCAATTATGAAGAAAATTGCCTCCGGCGAAAATAAAACAAAAAACAAAAAACAAAAAAGAAAGCAATGCATGTAATATTCGCGAATGACAAATGTGGCATACAGTCGGTGGCTTGAGCAACTGTAACGATCGAATTTGTCTTGCAAATGGCAATGAGGAGGTGCTGTTGTACTTGTTTTGTTTTTGATTAATTTATTATTACTTATGTTTGTCTGCATTTCTTGTCTTCTGCACTCATGGCTATGGCTCATCGTCTCCACAAATTCAATTGTTTACTGCTGTCGGAAGTGGCCGCCAAACCACAGCAATTCGAACGTCAACGATGACGACGCCATCAGTCATGCACTGGAAACTCCTTCATCAGCGACTTTCTAATAGTGAAGGCGACGATTAGTGTTTCAGTTGCAGCCATTTTCATTGTTGGTGCTATACGATCATATTGTATCCCAATTGGAAACCATCACCTGACGCCTTGCAAGCTACGTAGATGGCATGGAAAGAAATTTCCCAAATAGTTTTTTTTTCGTTCTGGTTACGTAGACCCGACTGTCGTGAGGACAAGGAAGGCATCTCTTCATGATCGTTGACATTTCCAAGGAACCATGTCGTGAGGACAAGGAAGACATCTCTTCATGATCGTTGACATTTCCAAGGAACCATAAATGACTTTTCCAAACAAATGAAAATTTTGTTAGGTCTTCTCGTCAGGCAGGCACTCGGCGTGACATACAACGTCCTAATTTAGTCAATCCAATTTGGTTATAATGGCAGGCTTATCCGACAAATGAAATTAGTGGCTTGATTGATGTCATTATGATCGGTGAGCATTTTTCCAACTGGGGTAGCATAAAGCATACATACATACATATCAGTTCAAATGCGATGGGGCTTTTCTTGTTGCTTGCTGATATTGATACCACTGCCGCTGCTCGACTGGATAGAAGTAATAGTATTCCTCAGTTGATTTCCCAACTTGTCTCGGGTTCATTCATAACAAACGCGAACGTTACAACAACAGCAACAATAACAATCGAGTAGTAAATACTTAGTATTTTTCAGCAGAGTTTTAGATTCTTTCTGATAAATTTACATTTCCACTAACGGCTTCAGAGCAGGGATGGAAAAGTAGGTACAATTGTACGACTTTTTCGAACCAAAAGGTACATTCGGTAGATTGAATCCAATTTAGTTCAAAAAATATCCATATTTAAGACTACGTTTCTCGCGAAAATAATTAAGAAAATTTTTCTAAGCAAGGAGAAATGGCAACTCATATATCATTGTGAACATGTCATTGTGGCAAGAAGAAATCTTTGCAAAGTGGCGAAGTTCCTTATTAAATTCTTTGCTAACAGTGAAAAACTCCTCACCTTCTGAGGGATTTCTACCAAAGTGGCTACACTGCATGCGTGTCAATTTCAATTGTGAATGGGTTAAAAGTGCGAAAGTATATAATTAAAGGCAGAAATATCTGTAACCTGAATGTACTCTGGCGGAAATTTGTTCTTGCAACGATGGATAAGTAAGTCAAATTTTGAATGAATAAATTGTGTAAATTAATACCATTTTCTTAAATAATTCTTTAAGTTCTTTCACTTACAGTATATTTTTGAATAATTATGTAATTCTCGAACATGTAACTATTAGAAAGTCAGTTCATAAGCAGGATTAAATAAAATGAATGAATGAATGATACCAAAAAAAAAGTTATGCTCAGGTTTTTTTTTTATCACAAAATATTTAGAGGTCGCTCAAAGGGTTCAAAGTTGTTCATGTATTTTGTATGGGGAAAAACAAGCTTTCGTAGAAATGGTATAGAATTCTTCAAAATCAATATTTTTTTTGATCGGAAAACGTTGCTTCTCTTTAAGATACTGCCAATAATAATTTTACCAATTGTTAATTTTACCATTTCTAATAATAGCGATTTTTTATGGGCCTCCACTGCATTTTTTATATAAGAATTCTCCAAAAGAGAAACCAAGTTTTCCGATGGAAAAATATTGATTTTCAAAAATTCTATACCGCTTCTACGAAAACACGTTTTCCCTATATAAAATACTTGGAAAACTTGGAGTGCTTTGAGCACTCCTAAATATTTTTTGATTTCCATTTAAAAACATTTTTTTTGGTACAGTACAATCCTACAGGGTGAGAGCTTTCTGATTTTACTTTTATTTGGACCACCCCAATGTACATGCATACATATATCTTTATTGAATTTTTATGCATATTAATTCAACTGCAATGATATATTAATCACTTTTTTGTTAAAGCAAATAATGTATAAATTTATTAAATTGTTACCAATTGTCAGGGCACAATAGACCACTAGGTCGCGGTGCAAACCTCATTTTATTATCTATCTATCTATCTACCAATTGTCTGAAAATAATAAAAAAAAAAGTTAACAAAACCGTGAGCTACTTTTTAAGTACACTTGACAACAAAAAGGTGCATTTCTATAGTCAAATTAGGTACAATTTGAAATTTCGATTTTCCAACCCAGCTTCAGATAGTTGCAGCTACAGTAAGTGTGGAACAACGAGCATGCAACGCGCATGCGCAGCAAATTATCGCACCTCTCTAATACCAACATACCCATAAACATAAACACTGGAGCATGAAACGCCAGCAAACTAGATACATATACATACATTTACATATATACAGTGAGCGCCAAAAATAAGTATACCCTGACGTTTTTATTTATATATATTTTCCATACCAACTTTTTCTTATTTTTTCATAAAAATATAATTCATTCGACAGCAAAAACCACAAGATTCTTATTATTTTTTTCATGCCGAACTCGGGAAAATGCAAGAAATAGCGCATGAACACAACCAGAAACCTATAAGTCTATAATTTTCCGAAGGTTTTCGGTGTTCTGAATTCGAATCTGAACTCAGAATTTCAATGTTCGCTCTGGCAACAATATTGCTGTTTTCCCCATATTTGAGGCTATGTAGCGTCACTGAAATGTATGTGTTCTCAAAGCCACTGACGTCGCCTTGAAGTAAACTAACGCTCGTATCTACTTTTTTTTTTAAATACTGCATCAATACAGTGTTCGTGGAAACACGTTATAAACATGCATATAAAGGGACATGGCAAACTTTTTAAAATATTTTGTACTGGAGATACTGCGAATCGAAATTTTTTCCGAAAAAAAGTGTTTTGTCCGAAAAGAGATACGAGCGGTAAATATATAAACATTACACCTACAAAATGCCTTTATGTTTGTTATAATTCTTTTATCCTCGTCAAGAAAACTTGTTTTGGACTTTTCAGTTATGTTTACTTGGTATACTGGTATGTAATGAATAAATAACACGAATCCAGCGCCACCTAGCGAGTTTTCCAGTAGCCTATAATAGGACCATATATGCAAGGTATAAAATTAGACTGAAATCCATTCAGTGGTTTTTGATTTGCATAAGTCCGAACAAGGAAAACGGCTATTATTTGCATGTATAATAATTTGGATAGATAATATAAATAAAGAAAATTGTCAAAACGTCGTTTTTTATTTATTTTTGACGCTCACTGTATGTGGGACATTTTTTGGCAAGCGGTCCACCCTATCGCCATTTTTGGTTTGATTCAAACAATTCGAAACCTTTTGGAAAAATTAATTTAAATGCCGTTGGGCCTTTTCAAAAATTAAAGATGTCGGTTTAAATATGGCGTCCAAACTAACTGTATTATGAGTATTAGATTTTGCTTTACAACTTTTTTTTATCTGGAGAAGCCAACACTAAAAAATAAATACTAACAGCGGCTTCTTGTTTTGTATTGGGTTTTCGATTACGAAGCTGGAAACGTTTTCAACGAAAAATTTTGTGGTTGCTAATTAAGAATCTGAAGGCAGGTCGGAAAAATTAAAAATGGCGGACCCAATTCGAAATTGATATTTTCCATGATAAATGGTAGATCCAATATGGATCGATTTTGAATATGATTTCAGACTCGTAGTCAGCGAACCTCCGATGGTAAAGGTTTAGGCGAATCTAATCGATTTTAATTAGGGCCGCCATTTTGAATTTTTCCAATTTGACTTCAGATCGTTTACTCATTTTTCTAAAAGGCTTCGAATTTTTTAAATAAGTAAAACCAAAAATGAAGAGAGGGATGACCCGTTAGGCAAAGAATGACCCATTTATTATATGTATATTTCGCATCGTTGCGCAGCGCTTTCCGTTCGGAACCAATGTATGTGTGGATGTATGTATGACTATATTGTTGCATTTAACAGTTGCAGCGAAAACTTCCAACTGCGTCAATTGGCGTGTGGCAGTAAGCTGAAATACAGCATCGGCAAAGCGTGCACCACATTTTCAATCATTTGAGACGACTCGGTTTTTTTCTTCCAACTATGTATAGTTGCGTCTGTCCACTAGGCAAAAAGTGTTGAAAAATCATAAAGAATCAGAAAAATTGGAAGAATAAGCCAGTGAGTGCTAAATATAATAAGTGAAGTTTTTACAATTCGATAGTTTGCAATTTTGATTTTTATTCAATGCGGAGTTCAAATAAAAACAGAAACTTAACATTTACTAGTAAATATGCTTGTATAATATTTGCGTGTGTACATATATTGCATACTATTGGTTGTTCTAACAACTGCAAATGCTTTTCAAAGTTGAAACTTAAATGTTAGGCGTGTTTTTTTACCCGCATACGTATTTTAAAATTTGTATGGAGCTGTAAGCGACAACCTTTATGTGCGCTTATGGATAGTTGTCGATAAAATCAAAAACTATTTGTTTTTTACACGTTAAGCATAGATGTACATATATGCATGTAAAAAACACGCCTAAGTATCAAGTGTGCGGAAATTACCGCTATCTGTTCTTCCATGTTGTGTAAAGATTTTATACCTGTATCGATTACCAGTATCTCACTATGTAGAACAAAATATGTATGTATTCCATATGGGAGTATATGTAAATTCAAAACTTTAAAGCCGTTTTCCTCGAGTTTCGCTTTTTTGAGTTATGACACTATTGATGTAAATGAGATATGTACATATCTGTGGACTTTTGACAAAACAACCTCTGTACTCTCTGTAGGTTGGAATTTAGAGTAAGTTATAAGGAACTTCCATTTAAAATTTTGATATTTTTATTTAACTTCCATTATGATGACTAAACACAAAAAGATCATTCGAGAACTCAATGAATTATTGCTTTGAAGAGAAAATGACCTCACTCGAGAAAAGTTGTTTTGTCAAAAACTCCACAGATATGTGGATGTGGAAAGTATCAATAAAAAAATAAATCATTAAACAACACTGGTCTGCACTGATTTACATACATTTATGGAATAAAAATTACCATCTCAACAACAACCCTGCAAACCAAAGTTCCCGAAATCTTAACGAAATCTTTAGGAGTATCTCATTTCTGTAACGATTTTTTACGAACCTTCAAAGAAAAATATATGAAGTGGTTGACACCAACTCGTAAAGAAATTTCTGTACGAAGAATAAAGAAAATTCTGAAAAAAAATCTGCTGGAAACTCCTCACATAGCAGCATTATTTTCATTTCTTTACCGATTTTCTTTCGAAATTTCGTAAAAGAATCGAAGTGTGCACATTTTATTTCTTTTAACCAAGTTCGGCAAAAAATCGGATGGGATCTTTACGAATTCTTTAAAATTTTTCTAAAATTTAGTATACACTGAAAAATGGTTTGCAGGTAACCTGCATTGCGAATGACGAATATTTGTGGAGACTATTGATTGCCCGAAAATAACTCTCTTATACAGCCTTGCAAGATGTATTCCAACCAGAGTGTCCAGACTGGGCGATTTAGCGCCAATTTTACCCTACGAATCAATTTTTTTGTGCGCTACTATGTAAATGCGTCGAAATATGTGAAAAGTAGGTTGTGAATTAGAGCTTGAGGTTTGATGTGGCCACACTTTTTATTGATATCGATTTTATTGTAGCATATCTACGGTGACCATAAATATGGATTCAAAATGAAGGACAATTTTTCAAAAATATGCCTACATATATTTACGTAGCATAAAAATATCAAAATAGTATTTATGATTCTAAATTCTTAATACATTTTAAACTTTAAATATGAATCACGTTTTCTTCATCGATATTAATCTTTTTAACATGAATATTTATAAAAGTATAGTAAAACATATTATAATTAAAATAGTTTACACGAAAAGTGAAAATATTTAAAAGATTATTTTATAGGCAAATTTAGAGTCATTCAAAACGAAAACAGTACCCTTTTTTGTTTTTTTGGTACTTTTCGCAGTTATTTGTCAAAAATCGACGTCATGAATCGACGTAAACGACGAGTTACAAAGTGCCCTTTACAAAAATATATAATTTGTGCAGATTGCACTCCATAGCATTTACATTTCTAATCCGATTTTCATTATCTTTGGCTCAAAATTTACTGTAGTGATATATCTTCTTTATGGAATTTTTAAAATAATGAAAAAAAAAATCAAATATTTGATTGAAAATCTCACTTTTTTTCGACTTTGACGACAAAATGCAAATGGTCGCCTGTAGCACTAATAATTTTAATTGAAGTCGCCACAAGTTATATATTTTGGTAAGAGGCACGTCAATACCCTTCGAGCTGTAAGTCGCTTACGTTGATTGGGAGATTTTTTCATGAGATATTGAAGAAAAGCTACGAAAAGTACCCAAAAAAAACACTTTTTTGAAAAAATCCATCCATTGTCCGATAATTTTAAAATAACGAATAAAATGCGGGACAAATGCAGGACACTTGGAAAAAATCAGTACATTTTCAGGTTTTTCAGGTTTGAACAAAAAACAGAACGGATGGTCACCGTAAGCATATCGAACATTTGCCAATGTTAAACCGCCATTTGTATATAATATATCGTAAAAAGAAAAGTCTTCACAATTACATAAGTTTCGAAGCAGCCCTAACTGATATACTTTTTCTTGAAGTATTCGAGGGCAATAAAAAAAACACGTTTTTCGCGACTTCGACCTTGCCAGCGCAAATAATATGGCAGTGTTGAAAGAAAGTTTCCATACAAAAGTAATCAGCTGTGTCCCAACGTGGCAAATTTTGAAACAAATACGACAACTGCGTCATGCCACACAGCCCATACCCACAATCGATATTTTGCGTGCCAATTGCGGTAATCGTGTTATCAGCCATCTCGGCGATGTCAATTAGCCACCTCGGAGATGCTAAATAATTGATGCCATTGGACTTTTTTTGTGGGGTGCGTGAAGGAACGTTGTTATGCAAACCATCCGTTGACCGTTTGCCAAACTGGCACACTTTTAAAAACACATAATAAACACACAATTATATTGTTTATAAATCTGGGAAATATAAGCACGGCGTTTAGGAATGTGAAAAAGAAATATATATAAACATTTTTGTAAAAATCCATTTATTTAACACAAATTTAGCAGCTACCATAAAAATCCTAAAATAAAGTTAAAAATCCAAAGGTATATAAAAAAATATATATTCCATAAAAATTCAACTCTGGGACATGTTACTTTTAGATGAAATGAGCTTCTCAGATCAAACTCTGCATAAATTCTCGTTAAGAGAGTCAAACAAAAACTGAGTGGTTTTGCTGTAGAGAGCTCTTCAAAAGAAGCAGCTACTGAGCGTCAGCAAAGTTAACGGTATAAAACGGCACGGCGAGATAAAAAATATGTGTTGGCCGATCAGTTCGCCCGACGAAGGGTTAAGGCGAATATTGAGAAAAACAAACGTGAGGTAGAGTCAGAAACTGTTACGAAGGTCTGGAAATACTAGATTAGCAGGATGTGCTACATCCGTGATTCCCAAAGTGGTCCAGGTGGACTCCCAGGGGTCCTCGAGGAACTCGACGGGGGTCTACGTTGGCGTGAAAAAATGTGGGGGTCCACGAGTTGTAAGTGGGGGTCAACGAAAATTTTTCGATAGTAAAGAACCAAAATGGTTGCTTGATATCCTCTTTATTTAACTTTAATTTTTTTGAGTGTAGTGCATGTTTTTACGTGGACTTTCATTTCCCTTGCATAAGGATTTTGTCTGAGAATAATTTTTTAAAACATTTTAACCCTAAGCTAAGAGGTTAAAATGTGCAATAAAATTTTTCCTCTTGAAAATTTTACTTTATAGACCCAAGTTACATATTTCGCTCCGATGTGAATTTTAATCCTTTTTCCACTTGTTCTAAAAACACGCAGGCAAAAAATTGCAATCTTAACATGGCAATAAAAAAAATTACAATTCAAAAAGATTTGGAGGTTATACTTAATTAATAAATAATTATTGCGATTGTAACATTTAGCTGGAAAAGCAAATAACAGTGCATCACTTGTAAATTTTGGTTTCGGCGTTGTGCCATCTGTAGTGTCATTTTTCGTTGACAAGTAAAATGAAGGCAAATTACAGTATTTATGCCTGGTTTACTTTGGGTAAAAGTCGTTTCTATTTTATTCCAATGGGAAATGTCAAGTTAGGCCAATCACCGGAGATATGCACTTCGTCTTGTACTCTTTCACCTCCATAACTTTAATTTCCATATCCAACTTGGAAAGAGCATTACAGACTATGCATCGTTGACAGTAAGGTTTCGTATTTCACGCCCTGGGATCTCGATAAGTATTTGTATACTATGGAAAGAAGGTTCATCGCTCGGCCGTTGGTATATGTAACAGGGCACATCCTACTTGGGGGTTTCGGTGGTTTTTTCTATGGGTGCGCACTTAAATCGCTTTGCACTGACGTAATTCGGCCTAGTTCCTTTTATTACAGAAAAAAAGCCGCTCTTCCCTCTTCTTAAGCTCAATATAGAAATCCCACATGGCTCGGGTTGTGTCATATCGCAGCGTGGCCCTGCAGTCGGCATTTCTGCAACATGACATTCCTGGTCGTACCAGTTGTTCTTTCCGGCTCGTTTAAATCGTACCCCTTCTTCGGCGGCGTTGGGCAGTGAGCGAGAGATGAGTTCCCATTGCCAGCAAACATATGTATGTATCAGTTTATTGAAGACTGCTGGGCAAGGAATAGGAGTTGATTGGCGAAAATGTGGGCTGTCCCCTCTGACGGCAGCTTTTCCATATCGAACCTATTTTGTATTGCTGCAACACAAAAGTGATTCGAGTTAATGTTAAGTAAAAGAAAAAGCTCAAGACGATATTCAATCGATACTATAAAGCAACAAGTTTCCCATTTAATCTTGTAAAACGCTCTTCATTCTGTTAATAACTTAGTTCTGTTGCCAATGATATCGTTTACAAGTAGATTTGTTTCGTCCACAATCTACAAAGTTTCCGCACTCATCTGCAATAATTGTGTGTAGATATGCATGCTGAGTAATTTAATATGCGAAAGCAAACTAAATATAGTTGTGCTAAGTTTTATTTTTGAGTAGCGTTGACTGACACAGTTCTTTTGTACTTGTATCACAAAGAGAAATTAGTAAATACATACATACTTTGCACATACAAATTTTTGTATGCATGGCTTTTAATAATCCCATACTTCAAATGTCCCATTGCCACACATAGGTATTTTATAATCATACTTATTCTTCAGGGGAGCAAAGAAGTCATTGACGTTTCTGCTTTTCAATAAGTTACCAGCATTAATAATTGCCTACTAGTACTAACAACAAACTTTTTTGTGTCAGGCAGATTATTAAGTTAGTTACAACGTATTTTTGGTTTATACGAGTTAATTTTGTTTTATTAAACTTTACTGTAACGTTGAAGTTTTTCAAGTTTTGGTTTCTGTTAATGTTTGCAAAAAGTGTACTTTCCTTTTTTGCTCGCAATTATTAGTGCCCGAGATACACATACACATACATGCATAAGCAAAAGTGTATAATTCAAACTACAACCTCTAAACGTGAGGTTCTCAAACTTTGCCAAAGTGGACCATAGTACTCGTACGTATGTATGTGCAACAAAAGCTAAATATCATAGTGAGATACCGGCAAGTGCGGCAACGCAACTTTTCACAAACAGCTGTTTACTAAGGAAAGTTACGTGGATTTGTTCAAATATGTATAAAATAAATTCAGATAGAATAAACTCAAATGGTATATTAAAACCTAACTAAATAATACGGGCGACTGCCTGGTACCAACGTATTTTGCAAATTCCAAAAAAAAAAATGCCAAAAATGTCACAACCTTACTGCTTAATTTCTCGCTCGTGCGTTGCCCCTTTTGCCAAACACTTCATTTCATGAATTCGCGAATTATGCATAAAAATGAATTCACGAAATGAATAATTCATGAATTATGTCGCATAAACGTTGTAATAACTACGAGTTTGTTTCGGCGCGGAGAAGTTTATATCTAGGGTTGCCATTTGTTAAAAAATTCAATTCAATTTAGTCAAATGAATTATTTCAATATGGGCTTTTCCTTGAGAAAGAAATGAAAAAATAACATCTGATGAGGTCGCTCTTGAAGTTTTTCGAGAGAAATATTCTGCGAAAGAATTACGGGCCTTCACGGGTTGCAACAATATACACTAGGCGACAAATGAAAGTGTACAGCTTGTTCTAGTATAATATACACACACATTTCATTTAGACACCAAAAAATGCCTGATAAGCTATGTATATTTTTCTGCTAGGTCTTTTCGAGTAAAACAAGAATCGAAATATGAAATTTGCCAAGCACCCCCAAAATCTTGATTTACCGTTAAAAACCGGGTTTTCGTACTTGTGCGCACTTATAAGCCTGAACGGAGTTTCAGTTTATTACCGGGTTTAAAAAGAAGAAACTTGGGCCTTTAGAACGATATAGGATATGTGAATAAAGAAACCTTAAGAGATCTGTGTTTATTTACCCAGCAAACACATTTCTTTTTTTAATTTTTTCACCTTTTTTAAATTTTGGTCCTAAATTGATTGCAAAACTAAATTTACTAACGAAAAAACGAGTGTTTGTTTTCAAAAATCGGACGAAAGTTTACTGAGTTTACTTTTTTTGAAAACAAAATTTTGTGAAAAATATATTTGGCTATACAACTCAAAAATTTTTGCTTGACCGTTTTTTTCTTATTTCACGTTTTCTATGACCTATGCACCGTACAAAGGCTTTGAAAGACTGCGAGAATACCCCTAATTTGTAATCATATTGGATGTAAATAGCAACGCTTTTTGTCATTTTAAAGTGGTGTTCCCAAAATGAACTGAAGCCAAAATAAAAGGAGGTATTAATGTTTTATTCTCTCATCTCTTTGAATGCTTACTGTGGAATGGGTTGTAAAATGTCCATAAAAATTCGTTTCCTTCATTCGCATTTGGACTTCATCCCACATAATTTGGGCCGGCTCAGTGATGCACTAGGCGAATACTTTCACCAAGAAATAGCTACAATTAGAAAACGTTTCGGAGAAAAAAATAAAACAAAAATTATTTCAGAATATTTCTGGTCACTACAACAAGAAACTGACGATGCTAAATTAAGAAAAAACGGTGAAGAAAACATTTTTGGTAGTAGTATAGTCAAAAATAATATTTGCAAAAATTTTGTTTACATAAAAATTTTTGAAAAAAACACTAGTTCTTTTCCTGATTAAATTTAGTTTTACAATCAATTTAGGACTGGTATTGTTTTTTTTTAAATAATGCGTAAAAACCTCACCAAAATTTAAAAAAGGCGCAAAAAATTAAGAAAATGTGTTTACTGGGTAAATACACACAGATATCTAAAGGTTTCTTTATTCACATACATATATATCGTTCGAAAGGCCCAAGTTTCTTCTTTCTAAACCCGGCAATAAACTGACACTAAGTTCATAATCAATTAAGTTACGGGCTTATAAGTGCGTAAAAGTACGAAATCCCGGTTTTTTCACAGTAAATCAAAATTTTGGGGGTGTTTGGCAAATTTCATATTTCGATTCTGGTTTTACTCGAAAAGACCTACAAGAAAATATACATAACTTCCCAGGTATTTCTGCTTTATGCTTTTTTGTAGCAGTGTGTTATTTATGAAAGTATAGTTTATTATTCTCATTTTTGTTGTTGGTATTTCCGACAGGGTAGGAGTGTGATGTAATGTGGAACGATTTTCCGTCATCCCTTGTCAAATTTGGTTTGGAGACAAACCGGTTTCGGCGTTGTGCCATCTTCAGTGTCATTTTTCGTTCATTCGAACGAAGTTCATTAATTGGGCGGCCGCTGTAGTGTACTGAATAGCAGTGCGTGCTACCATTCCGAAGGGCCTGAGTTCAATCCCAGTTCAATCCATAATCGAAAAATAAAAAAACAAATAAAAAAGGAGTTTGGAGTAAATCTGAGCATGCATAATACTTAAATGACATCTAGTCAATGTATTCTTATAGTTTCGAGCATTTTAATTAATCCTAGTAAATTATATTGACCTCAAAAGAGAATAACTCAGTTACTAACGTGTAATTCCAATGAGAAAATTAAACATTCAATGCGCGACCTCTTAGAATTATCGCGGAGAAGGGAGATTCCTGGAGGATGGCGGTCGCGTTGCAGTATACATACATGCAAATTTAGATGGTTCCATAAATATATTTCAATGAACGATAAGGAGATTTATGTTGTGTTTGAATAGGAAGCGGCTTATAAATTCTGAGTGCCAAGGCGTTGAGTGCATAGCAAAATGTGTGTAACACTATAAAAATAACTAAAATTATGCCTTGACGTGGAACAGACTTAGAAATAGCTCTTGCGCTCTACTCTGTCACTTATATTTCTGGCCAATTTTTTAGTTGGCTTTCAGCCACTGTACACATTGTAATGTTTGTGCGTCTGTATGAATGACTAATGTGTAGTCTACGAGGAGTGCATAAGAGTAAAAGCCTCAGGGCGCGTTCACTTGAAAAGAGACTAACCAAAAAAAAAAATTAAAATTTTTTCAAAGGAAAGAAAAACGACGGTGTGAACTCATTTAAAAATAGCCGCATCGAATCTCATTACTTTAATTTGTCTGCTTGCTATTTGTCTAATGTCTACATATCTTTGTATGTGTGTTACAGTTGCCGTTGCACCGTTGGAAAATATGGCAGACTAGGCTCAAGTGTGTAACCAATGCTACAGACGCATGTGCGTAATTTTATTGAACGAAATTCGGCTGAAGTTGGCTTGAGCGCATAAAAAATGCTATCGTCGTCGACGACGTCTGCATCACATCGCAGCAACAGGCGCGAACCGAAACTGAACGCTGGGTCAAATTTGGATGATGACGATGCCGGCAGTATCATCGTTGAAGACACCGAAGTGGACATTGCAGTCGACGTGGATGTCGACGAGGTACCCACACAGAAGCCCCATTTTTTAGACGATGCCATGCCACCACCCGAAATGGTCGCTGATTTTGAGCGTGTGCTAACTTTCAGCGCAAAAATAGAGTCGAAAACCTGCACCTCCACCAGCAGCGGTGAACAATTGAAGATGGATAAGAAGTACGAGCGTGACGGTGAGATTAGCGACTACGAGTTGGCAGCTAGCGGTTATACAAAGAAGGAATTTACACAGGACGATAACACTTTGAATCTACCATGTGGCATTGGAAAGAGCGCATTTACGAAACCAAAGCATTTTTTGGACGAGAATCCCATACCGCCAGACTACATGTTGCTTGCTACTGCCGTCGAACAGGACCTGCGGCGCGAGCATCGTAGTCTAGACCGCAATTTCGAACGGCAAGAGGAGCAGCAGACCGCCCTAAATGCAGGTCATTTGATGAAGAGCAGCAGCAGCAGCAGCGGTGGCGGTCGTAAAAGTTCATTGGACCGCGGCGGTTATGGTGGCGGCGCGGCTAGCGGTAGTCATAGTGGTAGCATGTCGAGTTCGCATACTTCACGAGAGCGCAATAAAGAGCTCACGTCATCATACACCTTGTCACGTTTTCTGCACAGCGCCGAAACGCCTTCACCACCACCAGCACTACAACGCAGCATACCAAAAGGTGGCGCCTGGGCCAGCAGCAGCGGGAGCGGTAGTTGCAGCTTTGATAGACTTTATGGCAGCTTGCCAATGGCTCATGCTGGCGGCAGCACTGGCATCGGCGCTGACAATAGCAATAACACACTTGGGGTCGATGACATTGTCGATGTCGACCGTCTTGGTCCGAAGGTGGAGTGTGTGTATTCGCTACTGTCGATGTTGGGCTCCAATGACCCGGCAGAAATGTCTAAGAAGTTTCTTGAATTGTCGCGAACACCAGAAACATGCAGCGCGCTACGCCGTGCCGGCTGTGTGCCTCTGCTGGTGCAGATGATGCATTCCGATGGCGATGATAGTGTTCGAAAATGCGCTAGCATGGCACTACACAACGTTGTGCACAGTCACCCGGACGAAAAGACCGCGCGACGTGAAGCAAAGGTGCTGCGTTTGCTCGAGCAGATATTGGACTATTGTAATTTTTTGAAAACGCTTCTGCAGAGCGGTGGCGAAGCGATTGCTGATGATTCAGAAAGGCATCCGCTGGCGGCGATTTCGTCATTGATGAAAGTGAGCTTCGACGAAGAGCATCGGCATGCTATGTGCGAGTTGGGTGCACTGCAGGCAATACCGAATTTGGTGCATTTGGACCACGCTGTGCACGGACCGAAATCTGAGGATCAGTGCTGTAATTCGTTGCGACGGTATGCACTCATGGCGCTAACGAATCTCACATTCGGCGATGAACACAACAAGGCCTATCTATGTAGTCAGAAACTGTTCATGGAGGCCCTGGTGGCGCAGTTGGACTCGGCACCCGATGATTTACTGCAAGTAACCGCCAGCGTATTGCGCAATCTGTCCTGGCGTGCTGATAGCAATATGAAAGCAGTGCTAAATGAAATTGGTACCGTGACCGCCTTAGCGGGCGCGGCTATGAAAAACAAGAGTGAGAATACGCTTAAGGCTATATTATCTGCATTGTGGAATCTGTCGGCTCATTGTAGTACAAACAAGGCCGAATTTTGTGCGGTGGAGGGCGCACTCGCCTTCCTTGTCGATATGCTCTCGTACGAGGGACCCAGTAAAACGCTGAAAATCATCGAAAACGCAGGTGGCATACTTCGCAACGTCTCTAGTCACATCGCTGTTCGCGAACATTACCGCCAAATACTGCGCGAGCGCAACTGCCTCTCGATATTGCTGCAGCAGCTTAAGTCGGAGAGTTTAACGGTGGTGAGCAATTCTTGTGGTACATTGTGGAATTTATCGGCGCGTTGCCCAGAGGATCAAAAATTTCTGTGGGATAACGGCGCAGTGCCCATGTTACGTTCGCTGATACACTCAAAGCACGCTATGATCTCTG